TTCTAGGGCCAATTGAATTCTAGATGTTGTGTTTGGTGCTATTACTACGAAGGTGTGTGGGAAGTTGAATCGTTGATGTTGTGGTGGCAATGTTGATGTTGTTGTTGTTGTTGTTGTTTTTGTTATTACGGCTGCTTTTGAGGTGGGTGACAATTGTTGTTGCTAATTCGTTGAAGCCATGGAGGTTTCAGCCCTGTCGGTTGCTGGTTTTTTGGACAAAGGCGTTGGTGTTGGCGGTGAGGGAGGGTTATATTTTGATGTCCGACCTCTTTTCTTGGATTTCGGTCTCAGGAAGTAGCCTTCCTGGGAAGCGTGGTCCGATTCGGACTCCCGCGAACTCCTAGGGTCCATGCTTATTAGCTATGAAGCCCTGTATATTGTCCGAAATGCGCTTTAAATTTTACTATCGACAAAACAAACTTTTCGATTGGAATGTCCGGATTTCTACCGAGCACGTCCTATTTGCAGTAAAGCTATCGCAAGACTTTCATTATTGCATTTGTTTATTTACCATAATGGCTATAATTTGTAATATTTATACGGGGTTGCTTTTATGTAAGGTGCTTATGGTATCTGTGAATTATTGCTTCTACTAAGATATCTAGAATTAAAATGTTTTCCAAAATTCTAAAAATTCTCAAAAAAACTAAAAAAATCAGGATTTTTAAGCAATAGCTCTGAAAACCTGACAAGAAATATTTGATTGATGAATGCTGATTGGAAGATCGCCAGAAAACGACCCAAAAATCTCAGAAAATCAGGATTTTAACCCAATTGCCCTAAAAACTTGACAAGAAATCCTTGACTGATTAATGCTGCTGATGCAAACGAATTCCTTCTTGATCGAAAATGTCGCGTTTCTGGAGCCTGAAACTTCTAGAGTGTTTTTCAGTCAGCTTCCTGCATTCTTCAATTCCGTTCAATTAAAATCATGTAGAATTTGGGGCATTTTAAAAAAGTTGATAATTTAAAAAAAAATCGACCTCTACTCCTTATGAAATTTTCAATCAAAAATCGAAATTTCACATTCAAACAGTTCAGAACAAAAGACAAGTCCAACGTTGCTATTTACCACGATTGGTCATTTCTAATCTAAGGCCACTTTTCTTCGTTGGCAGGTTTGACCAGGAAAAAATTGCTTTTATTCCTAGACCCCAAATTTCAAATGGCGCCTTTGTGTGTGACTAGTGGGAAAGTATTTTTAACTCATACAAATCGTAATAGAAATGAAAAAGTATTGTAAGAAATGTTCTTATGAAAGTAATGTATTGTACCGTGGATGGCCGAGTATTAAACTCTTTCCTCTGCTTCCAACTTTTATTCCACTCGGTACAACTTTAACTACGGAACAGGAACAAACT